AGCAGCCTAATGGTCCAAAACAACAAGATAACGATGAGCCGAAAGAACAACCAAAAAACGAAGAACCTAAACAGCCTAATGGTCCAAAACAACAAGATAACGATGTACCGAAAGAACAACCAAAGAATGACGAGCCTAAAGAGCAGCCAAAGAACGATGCACCGAAAGAACAACCAAAGAATGAAGAACCAAAGCAGCCTAATGGTCCAAAACAACAAGATAACGATGAGCCGAAAGAACAACCAAAAAACGAAGAACCTAAACAGCCTGATGCGCCGAAAGAACAACCAAAAAACGAAGAACCTAAACAGCCCGATGCGCCGAAAGAACAGCCAAAGAATGACGAGCCTAAAGAGCAGCCAAATAACGATGCGCCGAAAGAACAACCAAAGAATGAAGAACCTAAGCAGCCTAATGGTCCAAAACAACAAGATAACGATGAGCCGAAAGAACAACCAAAGAATGACGAGCCTAAAGAGCAGCCGAAGAACGATGCGCCGAAAGAACAACCAAAGAATGAAGAACCAAAGCAGCCTAATGGTCCAAAACAACAAGATAACGATGCACCGAAAGAACAACCAAAGAATGAAGAACCTAAACAACCGGAAGATCCTCCAGCCAAAGAAGGAGCAAAGGACCCAGAAAAGGATCCTGTAGAAGACCCTGGAAAAGAACCTAAGCAACCGGAAAATCCTCCAGCTAAGAAACCAGACGTTACAACTACAATATTCGTAAATGAAAAGATACCACCGGCACCGTCTCCGGATCCAAAAAATCCAGATGAGAATCCAGATGAAAAAAACAATGAACCCGAACTAAACAAAGATAAAAATAACAATAAACAACCAAATATTGGACCGGATGCTCAAGAAGCGGGGAATGACGAGAAAGTAATTTATACAACATATACAACCACCATCACGAGTATAATACCGGGATATAGGTTAGGATTTATTTTAATGATTTTATTTAAATAATCGCATGATTAGTTTTTCTAATTTCTTTGTTATGATAGTACGACTATAACTACAACAAATAATAATGGAAAGCCTACGACATATGAAACTTATATACCACCGACGACTGTAGTTATCGTAAAGAAGATTACGTCACTGCTTCCGGTTCCAACCGGAGACCAAATTGCTTTCGGTGAATCTCTCATTCTTGACGGATATCAGGGGATTTTAGGAGTTTGGATAAGTTTAATAATTGTGATTGCGAGTATGATATTTACGATTATTGCGTAAATTAATTATAAAATATACGTAAAGTGAACATTTATTAATTCCGTACGTGTAATTTATATTAGAAATATTTATAATATCCTTATATTAAAAAAGTATGTAAAATAATTGTTAATAATAATAATAAAAAAAGCCAACTTTTTATATAATTTAAACGTGGCGCAGCTTTACTGGTTGTCTAAAATAGTAAAACAAAGTATAAAAATAACGCTCTTAATTTAGCAAATTGAGCAAATGCCTTATAAATAGTGGTACTACAACACGAACAGGTTGAACCGGTTTAGACATATTTTTGGAAGAAAAGTTAATTAGAATTTTCGATAAAAGTGCATAGGATTAATTAATAACAAAAATAAACAAAAATTTATGAATGTTGATAAACTTGAACAAAGTAAAACTTTCCAATGCATAAATGTTTGAATAAAGTTCTATCATTTTCAAATTACCTCAAGGAATACATCCCTTTGTTTGTCAGAATTTCTTTTTATTAAAATACCTTTTACTGTCATTTGGTAGAACAAAGTCCAAAAAATATTTGTATTACCAATGATATTTACAATGTATGCAGTATAACAGTTCGATAACGTTACAAAGTTGTCTATCATCTAATCTTTTTTATAATTCAGATTATTTATGTAATTTATACGCATTGAAAAAAAATATAAATATGAAGAGTGAGTTATTTTTTCCCCCTAAATTCTTTTATTTCATTCTACTTTTTTAATTAGGGATAAAAAAAAAAAAAAAAATTTTATAGACATGTTACAAAGTTCTCTTATATGGAACAAAAAACTTGCTTTATTGTTTATGGTCATTCTTACGGTATTCGTTACTGTAAGTTTGGCCGTCGCAGATAAACGTAATTTATCCGTTGATAGGTCTCGTTTCCATGAACGACAGGAACCAAAAGAAGCTCCGAAAGAGGCACCAGAACCTCCTAAAGAGGCACCTGAACCTCCTAAGGATCCAGAACCTCAAAAACAACCAGAGCCAGCCAAAGAACCCGAGAATCCAGCCAAAACGCCAGATGATGGTGCAAAAGAACCAAATGATCCTGCAAAAGATCCGGGAAAAAATCCAGATGATCCAAATGGTGGAGATGCAAAAGAACCAAAGGATCCCAATGGTGGAGGTGCGAAAGAACCAGATGATCCTGCAAAAGATCCGGGAAAAAATCCAGATGATCAAGGATGTGTGGATCCAACAAAATGCCCAACACCACCACAATGTGATGCAGCAAAAGATCCAACTTGCGTAAAGACGCCACCAACGGAATGTCCTGATAATGATCCAAATTGTGCAAAGACGCCAACGGAATGTCCTGCCAATGATCCAAATTGTGCAAAGACGCCACCAACGGAATGTCCTGCCAATGATCCAAATTG